ATCTAAAGTGGTCCACTACGTTCGTTTGAAACTGCCCCATGATCCACTCCGTTTGGAACTGTCGATAAATTGTAAAACGTGGGAACGTAACCGCCCAAACTTGATGGATGTTTTGGCAATTTTGGCTATAAATACTGTATTTGGTCCCCGGACTCAATAACTCAATGCCCTTCAGTTTTACATCATCTAATAGAGTGAGTAGAGTTTGGAAGTGCCAAACATCACTGAGAAAGCGTAGCAAAATTGTGAGGAACAACAATGGCTGGAGATATTGTTTTCTTGGCATTTAAGTATTTTCTATTTTGTTATAAAGTATTTATTCCGCATTAGAGAATCNTGTTTTCTTGGCATTTAAGAATTTTCGATTATGTTATAAAGTAATTATTCCGCATTAGAGAATCATCTATTATTGCTTACATTTATAAGATTATTTTGCTCAAAATAATAATGGAAACAAGGTATTTTCGTAGGTAAATGTCAATTTTTTGCTATGAATAATGCATAATTTGTGAGTAACTCACTTAAGCACTCATCTTCTTTGAGTTTTTGAGGTAGGTGTTTCCTGTAAAGGTCAGAATGGAGCAGAAGCCTCAAATGCTGGTAAGAGACTGAAATTGGGTACCCAAGGCATGGAGGTACCTTTCTTCACTCTTATAAAATATGTTTTTGTATTGATCCAAATTGGAAATAAGTGAAATGTTGGACGTACATATTGATATTTTGTGCTAATTTGATCTTGAAGCAAGTTAACACACTTCCTTTATTGCATATTTATCTAATCAATTAGCTATGTTTTATGCGCGAATTTTTCTTATCTATATAACCAACTGCTCCTATATAATACAACATGCACACAAGTTTTCACGGACAATTCTCAAATGTAAAATTTTCCATATACATCATTTTTGCTACAAAACCTCCTTAAATTTCTCATTTTTCTGATTTGCTTGTCAACTGATAAGCACATTATTGTTATTTGGTTTTTTCATTTTTACAGATTGGTCAGGGTATATACAACTCTGTATTCCGAGCGTATGACTTATAAGAAAGTGGGAAAATAGTTGCATTTACAGTTTTCTTTGTCACGGGCAAGCTTAGTCATTGGAACTTACATTTACCATGTTCCACTGCAAGAGTGATTTTCTAAATGATTAGGAAAGCGATGAGCTGCATCATGACCACAAGGTAATAACTTCTGATTTCACAGCAAAATTATGGTACATTGATTTGATTACATGTTAGTTGGTTGAAGTCACTGAAATAAAAGTGAATGTTAGTTTAACTAAAATCCTAATTTCTTTCTAATTGTAGGACACCAAATTTACTTATAGACTAATAATTTTGTCCTTTGTGTACTCTATTTAGTATTTTACAAATGAAAGGAGATTTAAAATAGGTAGCCACTAGCCAGTATGTTATCTTCTCCGATTATCAAAATTTTTGATCCGTAAAATATTGAGGTTGATTTCTTACCAAGTAATGATTACCATTAGATTTTTGAACTACATCTTCACTATTCAAATCCTTGCAAATGATCTGATTAAGATTTGCATACAGATAAAAGAGCTTAAATATGCTCTAGGACCACTTTCAGGTCATAGGTTGCAGTATTGCAGTTAAGCGTGCTTGAAGAGATATTTGGATGCGTGGAACTGGAATGTGTAAAGTGAATGAAGATGTTGGAGGAGACTTTGAGAGGAGATGATCTGCCTATAAACTTGAATGAAGATGTGTAAAGTTAACTTGTCCAAGTACTCAAGAATGAATGTCTCTTCTAATTTTATATGCTTTCGGATATAAATATACAACACAAATCAGCAATTGGTTCTTTGCTTGCTTAAATGTGTAAAGCTGGAAGAAGGTCAAGATGAATGTCACTTTCCATGCCATCATCAGCATCCTCTGACCAGATAAACCGTTCGTTCTCTAACCAAAAGAATAGGAACAAACATGTATATAGAGATGTTAAAATGAGAAACTTGATGCTTGAATTTTTGAATTTAACTTGTCATTTGGCTCAGCTCTCCTTTATCCGACGAGACTACACCCAGAAATTTAAGGAAATCCTGAAGGAGTACATGAAGGAAATGGAATCGCAAAGGCTCGAAAAATTGCGCAAAGACGAGGCCAAAAAAGAGAAGTTCAGGCACGAGATCGAGGACCTCAAGGCCAAGGTTAATTTCCTAAACCCTTTCCTTTTCTCTTTTCATTTCCCTTTCACATGGATAGCAGCTCCCAATCACTTTACCCTTGTTGAGCTTCAAAACTTCGTCCTGAGATTCAAAACTTCACT